ACATCAAACTTCCGACCAAAGACTGAAACTTCGCCACAGTCACCACGCTACCGTCTCCTGACAACGGTAAGGTCTCGGCCGCATCCAACGGCAGGTCATTCCACTCCAAGCCAATGGGCGTGCGCACCGGATGCGCCGCCTCCATCTCGTACTCATTCAGGATGTCAGTGATCGCAACCTTCTGATCTAGATCGTATCCGTTCTCGTCACCATACGTGACGCGCGTCCCCAAGAACTTGCTCACCACTCCCAGGTCCTTCACAGACAGATTCGATAGCTCTCCAAAGAACGCATTCACTGCGTCGTGGTCCGTGCCGGTGACCAGCAGGTCGTCCACATAGACGACGACGACGACCAGCACGCCGTCGATAGTAGACGCGCATGTCCGTCAAGCTCTCTTCGAATCCCAAATCTACAAGCTTCTGGTGGAGTAGTTTGCTCCAGAGTCGCCCAGCCTGCTTTAGTCCATACAGCGCTTTCTTCAGTTCGAGGACCAGCTCGTCGTCACTCGTGGCGCTCAGCTGCTTCTTAATTTCCTTTGATATGACCATTTCCTGCGGCAGCCGAATGTAGATGTCCACTTCCGGCTCCTTTGCCGCCTTGACGCAGGCGTTTGGTACATCCCCGTGTCTTGCTGGGACTCTCCACTTTCTGGCCAAGCGCAGGATAAGCTTCACACTGCACATGTCGATCACCGCGGCGAAGGTGGTTCCATAGTTCACACCGAACGCTTGCTCATTCCCACAGGCCACGAGCCGCGCCTTCAGCCGCTCGATAAGTCCTGCAGCATCTCTTTTCGTCTTGAAGACCCATTTTGTAAGCAGTGGACGCGCCCCACTAGGTAACCGCGTGACCTTCCGCACTCCATTTTCCTCGAGTGCTTCGAGCTCCTCTTTCATGGATTTCATCCATTTCTCACGGCGCTGGCTGCGCATTGTCTCTCGGTAGTTCATCGGATCTACCTCCACCACATTGTTTACCACTCTGTTTTCTGGCTCCTCCTTCTGCACGGACTCGTCCGTCTTCTCCGCAGCCTTACGCGCGACCGAGCGTGTCTCGTGACGCTCTCGTTGCCAGGTTTTCTTCTGCTTGGATCGCCTCTTTCCCTTTTTCCCGCGTCTGTCCCCGGCCGACGCGCTCTCAGTGGTGGCCGCCTCAGCGGCGCTCGCAGTTCCACCCGTGGACTCGTCCTCAACAGCACTGTCATCATCCTGCAGGTACAGCCGCTGCACCTGCTCGTTCTGGGTCTTGTTAAGCGTCTCAATGTTCTTCACTTGTTGTGTTGTGACCACCACGCGGTCCTTTGGCAGGTAAACTCTGTATTCTTTCGTTTCTTCTCCAATGCCGACGATCATGCCCTGCTGAGCACGCTGCGAGAAATACTTGTTCCGCGGGTCTCTATACACAGCACACGGGGAGCCAAAAACAACGATCTCGCCTAGTACCGGTGTCTGCTTCGTTAGTACCTTCAGCGGCGAAGCTCTGCCCGGGTTCGAGTTAGTCCGCGACCTGTTCAGAATGTAGGCCGCGTACTGTACAGCATCCCCCCAAAAGTTTAATGGCAGTCCACAGGCGAAGATCATGCACCGTGCCATGTTCATTATGGTCCGATGCATGCGCTCAGCCTTTCCGTTGCTGGCTTGATTTCTGGCCTCGCTCCGCTGACGCACTACGCCGGTCTTCTTGCAGAATAAGTCTACGTTTCGGTACTCTCCACCCGAGTCCGTCCTCAGTACATGAATCCTGCAGTCGAAACGCTTCTCAAAGAACGTGAGGAGGTGTTCAAACTGCTTGGCGGCAGCATCTTTCGTTCGTGCCAGGAACACTCTGCAGTAATTGCTCTTATGATCGTCGAAGTTTATCATGTAGCGGTTATTGAACGATCTCGCGGCGTCATCGGACCCTGTAAGTCCGAGCAGATTACTCCACTAGCTCGATCGATCGGCGAGTGGTCCCCAGTATCTTTCTGCAACTGCCGGTTCTTCGTCTGTTTCCCCTGCGCGCAGGTTAAGCAGTTGACGCGGCGATGGTCCGTGATGACGATGCCCGAGCTCGGGTCCCATGTCAGTTTCTCAACTGCGTCGTAGTCTAAGTGTCCGAACCTCTTGTGGAACTCCATCAACGTGTCTTTCTGCACGTCATCCGACACCATTGCTACTCGGCCTCAGCCTGGTCAAGTGCCGCCATAATTACTCCCGATGAGGCTTCTTCTTTCCGCTCTACGACGGCAGGCACGACTAGCACGCCATGCCGCAGATCCACGTCAAATGCTACTCGCCCTCCGTCTACACCAGCAACGACGCGTCGTTCGTCTCTGTATGTCAGCGTATACCTCTTCTTGTCAAGTTGGCCGTAGGAGATCAAATTGTGCACAACGTTCTCGGCGTAATGCACGTCCATGAGCTTCTCCGTGCCGCTCGCCATGACGCGCAGTGGGATAGTCCCTTTCTTGCTGATCTTGAGTGGATTTCCGTCTGGCTGTACGCACTCGTTCAAGTACCCCTCGACGTCATCCAGCCACGACGCATCGCTCACGAAGTGCCGACTGGACCCGCTGTCCAAGAGCCACATCACATCGGACTCGTCCGACGTCTCTTCTACTGACAGCGTGAGGTCAGGCTTCCGGCTGCCCCTCGCGTCCGCTCAGGACATGCTGCGCGCAGATGTTCAGCTTTCCCGCACTGATGACAGGCGCGTGTCTCCTTGCCGCGGCGCTCGGCCACGGCGCCCACAACTTCTCTGCCGAGATTCTTGTGCTTGGCAGGTTCTAATTCCCAGGCTTGTGCGATGTGTGCCAACTCCTCAGCCTGCTGCAAGTAGTCCGCTCTTGTCCCATCTACTGTGGCCATTAGCACTGTACGCAAATCGGCGGACGCGTACTGCACGATGTTGTTCAACACGAGGTAGTATACCCCGCCTCCGCATCCCTATGATACGGCGACCAAGTACATATAGTGTTTGGGCCACGATCTCTTGCCTTCCTTCGGCGCGGTGAGCAGCTTCATTGCTTGCGCGGGGGTGATGTTGGTCTTATACGTCTCGAGCATCCTCTCCATGACGTATTGCAGTGTGGGCAGTTGTGTCCACCAGGCATCTACTTGCTTGTTATAGTACCTTTCTGCAGTCCCCGCCTAGTAATGCCCCAGCAGATCCACCTTCACATCTTCCGGCCACGCGAATCCACATGCTGACTGCGCCAGTGCAACTTGTCTCTCGAAGCGTCGACCCCACTCGAGGAATCCAGATCCGAGCCCCACGTACAACCCCTTGCCGTCGAATGGCGGGATCGCTAGCTTCTTCTGTCGCGCGTCCGGGTAGCGGAATCCTTGGTTCTGCTGCTGGAAATGCTCGCCTTTAGTCTGTCTCCGACCATCTCGTGGTGGCGCTGGTGCTGGTGCTGCCGGCTGCACTCCTTGTGCTGCGGCGTACAGGCGTTGCAGCTCAGACATTGGCATGGCGTAGCCAGGTTGCTGTTGTCCGAAGTACTGTGGTGCGGCAGCTGGCCTACGTGGCGTCACTCTGAGCGGCGTCTGTGGCGACCCACCTAACGAGTCGATATGCATTCTTGCCCCGCGGCCAAGTCCAGACGCAAACAGACTGGAGTTCATGGGTGGTGTCGAAGGGCGATTCAGGCGCGCACGCCTTGCATCTTGATCGTCCAACTGCTTCTCAAGTTTCTCATGCGACGCTTTTAGCTTGGTCTGCGACTCGTCAAACCGCTCTAGCTGGCCCGCTACGCCCCGCAAGAGCGTCATCAGCTCTGCGGCGGTTCCCCCGGTCGCCGGCGCATCAGCGTTGGTGCTGTTGCCGCTACCCCTTTCGTGGGCCACAACGGTGCTCATCTCCTCTGTGTCGTCGGCCATGCCGGTCCTTTCGCGACTGGCAACGAGCACTGTCGGCGTTGGCGCTGGCGCGCCATCGCCGGTGACCTCATCTGTGGCTCTGGTCATTTGGGCTCAAGACCTGTAGAAGCTCGATCCTCGGACGGGCTGCACTTCCGGCGCACTTGTGGATAACTACGCAAAAGAGAGAGTGAGATTAAATTCCTTATCCCTACTAACCTATGTCTTTCCAGGTGATTGCGCTGCTCGGCGCCTATTGTCCGCAGATCTCTGGCCCGGATCTCCCCACTTTAACACTCTAGCAGACCAAGGCTAGGCGAGACTGCCCTTCACTCGCGGATTCGCCAGCTGCGCTGCCCTTGCTGCCCAGGATGTCACCCGAGGTCAGAGGGAAATTTTGCGCGCTGTGGAGCCATTCTCGTACTATGACACGCTTTGCTTGGAGGGCGATTTTTGTGGCTTTGAGAACACTGGTAAACACTGACCCAAACTGGCATTGTTAAAAGTTCCTGCATTTGCATCTCCGTTCTGACCTACCCTTGCATTACTTTCGATAACAGCTATTAACTCTTCTATTAGCATTTATATTTGTCTGCAAATGGTACTGGTGGTCTGACGCGTCCGCAACTTCAATCGCTGCGAGATGCCTAGGCAGATTTTCTCTCCACGTGTCCAGAAAGCAAAATAGTTTTGATATTGTGCGTTCTACTCAGCATTTACGTGCGCGGTTCTTTGAATGAGCGGAGAGAATTCCCTGAACTACGAAATTCGACCACTTAAGTACGATCTGGGAAATTTGTATTTGAGTGACTCACTGAAAAGGACCAAACCGCAAATTTGGTCGGAATTCACATAAAACACGCACCTTTTAAATCTTATAGCATCTTTTAGCATGATTGCACATATCACCCGCATGTTTTAGAGATTCTTCCGCCACACGTAATATCATCATCATCATTATTGTGGCGATTCAACCATCTAGAATTTCTATGAAGCGCAAGCACCCTCATCGAAGTTTCATTTTCGGTGATTGGCTAGATCGGTGCGTAAGCGCAACGATCGGTCTGTTGCCTACTACGGGTAGGCAATGCCTTGCACTCACCTCGACAACAACTCCATTCTTCAAAAATCTGACGAACAAACACAACTTCATCGGCAATGACCGCCGCCGAAAAGACTGTTCTTATCACGGGCGCCACCCGTGGACTTGGGCTCACGTTTGCCAAGCACTACATGAAGGCTGGCTGGAAAGTCATCGGAACGGCACGCAACCCAGCGACCTCAAGGCGCTATCGCCCTTTGCAGCTGGACACGTACAATGAAGCTTCGATCACTCAAATGGCCAAGGATCTCGATGGCGTCCCCATCGACCTGCTTATCAACAACGCCGGTATCGTGGAGCCAGGATCGTACGCCACGGCCACTAAGGAGCATTTCATGCGCCACTTCGAGATCAACTCGCTAGGTCCGTTCCTCACCACGCGTGCACTGCATGACAATCTCAAGCTGGCTGCCGATGCTCACGGACTTGCGATCGTGGCTTCTGTCACGAGCATCCTCGGAAGTATCGAGGTGAACCTGGACGGGGCCTTTGCCCCTCTACTACGACAATCACAAGCTACCGAACGGCGAGATGTACGGCTATCGCGCGTCCAAGTCGGCGCTTAACATGATCCATGCCAACATGGCCATGGATCTCAAGAAGGACAAGATCGCCGCTGTCGTGCTGCAGCCGGGCTACGTCAAGACCGACATAAACTATGGCAACGGCGCCGTCGATCCTGAAATGTCCATCGCTGGCATGACCAAGATCCTTTCGGAAGTCACGCTCGAAGACACATCCAAGTTCTTCGACTTCCAGGGGCCCGAGCTGCCCTGGTAAGCTTAGTGCCTGTCAAAAAGCGGAACCACACTCCACAATATTGCAATTTGGGGAAAACCACTCTTTTAAAAAGTAAAAATGTTTTTCAAGACAATTTTGTCAACTCAAACAAATCTTCCGACAATTATTTTACTTTGAGTTTTATTGAATCTGCTCGATGGCTGACACGAGCGCGTCCATCGAGACGCTGGCGAATGGCGCCATCGCGGCTGGGTGCCTTCAGGCCGTCATGAGCATGGTGCACCCGGAGCTAGTCAAGTTCGTGGCCTTCCAGAAGGAGCGCGTGGCCCGCAGCGACGCTGAGCGGCCTGCTGGCGCGTCCCAACGAGAGACCAACACTCTCGAGACTGCTAATCTGAGTCCTGAACAGCAGACAGATCTGTCGTTCCAGCTTAAGTATCTACGACAACACTGGCACAGCCACTTGAGGTACTACGGACTGGACTCGGAGCTTCCGGGCGTCGTGCAGCGCGCGCTCATGTACCGGAATAAAGTGTCGCATCAGAGCCAGATGACTTTAGATCAGTATGAAGCAGCTATCGCCACATTTCAGAAACTCGCAGACATTATCGAGTGTAACTCGACCATTAGACAACAGATCAAAGAGCTAGTGACCAAGTTATTGTCATTTTCGTCTCTTGGTAAGACACAATTGACCCAGAATGAGGGAAAACAGGCAGGGTATAAAGATCAGGAGAGCAAGAGTGGCGAGGAGCAAATATTGATGCCCCCCGCAGCGTCGCTGGATCAGATTCTACAGCACGAATACCTTTATGACGGAGATGAGAACGAAGAGCCGTTGTGGATGGACCTGAAGCTCATTGGCAACGATTATTTCAAGGAAGGAAACTATACTGAGGCCATCGAAGCGTACTCGCAGGGTCTGGTAGTGTCACCGCACCAGGCTGTGCTGTATGGCAATCGAGCCAGGTGTTATCTGAAGCTGAAGAAGTTTAGTCGAGCTCGGGAAGACGCAGAGAACGCATTGGAAGCAGACAACTATGAGAACATGAAGTACTACAGGCTATTATCCGAAATCTTGATGAAAATGAAGGACTATGACGAGGCCAAGGAGATCTGCGACCAAGGACTGATGCTAGACCCACAAGATATGGTATTAAAGAGTAGAAAACGCACAGCAGAGGCGAAGATTGAAGAGGAGAAAGCTGCGTACGAGGAGGAGAAGAAACAGCTCGAACTGGAAGAAAGAGCGAGGGTTGAAGCAGCCAATGCAGCGGCAGCGGCGAAAGCTATGGAGGATGCAATCTCAGGCAAGAACAAGGCCAAGAAGAAGAAAAACACGGTTAAGAACCCTGTGCCCGAGATGGAGTTAGTACCGATGATCAATTATCAAGAAGTGCCTGCGAAGTGGATCGAGGTACACACGCGTGGTTCTCGACGCCTGGAGCTGTACCAGCAAGGCATGGAGAGTCTGGTTGTAGCTGCGAAAGCTCTACTTCAAGTCACTGACAGCATTGGGAAGCCTGGTAGATCGAAATTGCCGCTGGACGAGCTAGTTAACGAAGGCATGATAAACCTCCGTAAGGCTGGAGAAGCGGGTGTTGCTGAGGCGTGGTTCCGTCTTGGCGTGCTGTACAGTAGCAGTGTTCGCAAAGGAATGCCGCTGACTGCTGACCCGCACAAGATGCTGGGGTGTTTCCACAAGGCCGCATCGCTGCGTCCATTCATCAAACCGCCGGGAAATCGCGTGTTCCCGCACCAAGGCGTGGCTGAAGCGGAAAACGAATTGGGCGTTTGCTATCGTGACGGCAGACCAGCTTCTGTCGTGGAGGCAGACCCGACGAAGGCGTTCCACTTCTTCTTGAGGTCAGCAGAGCACGACTATCCCTTGGGCCAGTACCATGTTGCCATCGCGTATTCACACGGCTCTGGGACGTCTGTTAATGCCTTTGCAGCGCGGATGTGGACGTCACGCGCAGCCCAACACGGACTGCCCGAAGCCCAGCAGTATCTAGCTCAGCTCTTCGAGAAGGGCTACGGAGGGAGACGAGATGAGACGCAGGCGCGGGAGTGGTCTCTCACTGCGAGTCAGAACCGACTGACGGATTTGCTGATGAAACATGACTTTGCTGACGTGGGTGTCACGGCGCTTGGGGGCGGTGCAATAGCAGACAAGTTCGCTAGCCATACTACTGCTTCTCAGCGAGGCAAAGAAGTGTTTCAGCAGTTCTACGACGCCTACTTGGACGAGACGAGTAACGGGGAGAGCGCGGTTGACGCTGTTGACAGTGATGGAGACGAGATCCAGATCACCCGAGTGAGCTCGTACACGCCAAGCGTCACGTCTTCCTCGAGTCACATGGGTCACAGCGGCATTTACAGACCTGCGTCTGCTGTCATCGACGCTGAGATCCAAAGTCGCGCGCAGAATGGGAACGTCACGGCGTGTAAATATCTAGAATCGAACCGACTTGTGGGGAGTGCAAGTCAACTACTCGCGGCTGGGGATGTTAAAGGCGCGCTACGAGACCTGAAGAAGGCGGATTTAGTCTGGGAACGACCCAAAGCTGTGTTCACGACGACCGACGCTGCTGATCTGCTGTTGAAAGTGCTGAAGGAAGCAGCTGTGAGTCTCCAGATCAACCCTCGAGACATGGATGCGGCGTATGTGATTGGTCGGTGGGAGATGATGAGCGACGACGAGCGCATTTCGCACTGGAAGCGATGTGTGAAGCTGCATCCGACCGAAGCTTCCTTTCATTTTTACTTGGGCGCTGCGTATCTGACGTGCAGTCGCTACAATGACGCCATGGACGCGATGGAAGCAGCTCTGGCGATTGATAAGAAGAAACCGGACTGGCTGTACTGGTTCGCTGCGCCGATGATCGGCTTGGGGATGATCGATCCGGCGCTGGCGGTCTTCAAAGAATACGTCGAGAGCAATCCTCCCGACGAGCGCTTCATACCGGACGCATACTATTCCATCGGCGCCTTGTACTTTAAGAAGTACGACAATGCGATGGCTACACTGTACCACGAACTGGGGCAAATGGCCGAGTCGGTCTCCATCCGCTTCCCTGCCTTCTACCCTCGAGTTCTCCACGATACGCCCAAGGAAACGCTCCGCTCTGGTATGAAGAAGAATGGGTACATGGATTCATCGGTGATTGTGAGTATCATGGCGCAGAAGATGATCGAGTGCGGCTTCTGTAAGGCCAAGATCAAGTCGACGCAGTTGCTGGGCCACAAGCTGACCAAGTGTCCACGACGCACTGTCTCGTGTCCAGAGTGCAAGGAGCAAATGGTGTTTGACTCGCTCCAGCCTCACAGACAGTCACGACATGCCAGCAGCACTAGTAGCAACGGGAAGAAGAAGAAAGGCAGAAAGAAGAAGAAAGGCGCTGCTGAGAAGAACGCGGACGCTACTATACGTGCTTGTACTCCGATTGTGAAGCCAAGTGGAGAGCTACAGCAGCTGACAGCACCCAAGTTCCACTTCGTGGGCGCCATTGTTGACGTGACAGAAGGCAAGAACCACACGGTCTTGTCGCTGCAGACAGTCCTCAACCAGCGCTGGACGCTTCGTGTGGATCACAACAGCTCACCATCAAGTGCTCTGTCTGACGCTCCAAAGGCCCTTGAAGGAGCCCAAGTGGACAATTCGGTGCTGGTGTTCTGGCGTCGTCCGCCGCCCCTGGAGATGATCGACCGACGAGCTCTCGCTGTACCGATGCAGGGCGACGTGTATGGGCAAGATGTGGTCGTGTACGTGCTCAAGTGTTCGTCTCAGGCGCTGGCCTTCGAGTTGTGTCAGCTGAGACACAACAAGTACATGGAGAATGACTCGATCTGTGCTAGCTGTGGGGATCCCCCGTACTTCGGTGCGGGTCTGTCAGCGTGTGGAGCGTGCAAGGCAGTCAGGTACTGCACACGTGACTGCCAGCGAGCTCACTGGAAACGTGTCCATCGTCACATGTGTAAGCAAACTTCCTTACTGAGTTTCTGCACGATGATGACGGAGGACGTGACCCCCGAGGAGAGGGCTGGGAAGCAACCGACTGGACGACCGACCCAAGCGAAGAAGGACACTCCTCAGCCTCAGATCGTGCGTGAAGAAGCCGTGTACGTCGATGACACAGTGGAGATCTTGCAGGGCATCTTGCAGACGTCACAGTCCAGAGCGATTGGCCCAGAACTGGCCGAGTACTACATGCTGCCACCTCGGGACCCTACACGTCCCAATATCGTCGAAGGCAGCGTCCGAATCTTTTCTCGAGCGAGGGAGTTTGTAGTGGAGTTTAGTATTGGCTACTTGACCTCAGCACCGAACGTGCTGCAGCAGGAAGAACTGCACTACTTTTTCCAGATCCCTCCGCACAATCCCCTCACGTTGAAGTGTGACGGAAGCCAAGTCTTCTTACGGGACAGCAAGGTGGTAGTGGACGACGAGTCGGCAAGAGGCTTCCGACTGGTAAAGGAGATGTCGCTCGACACGCACTCACTCGCAGCAGTCGCAGAGCTGCTCGACTATCTGCTCTCGAACACGAACTTATACCTAGCGTGAATGTGACTAGAGCTTCGCGGAAACAAGTATACACGTCTCTCTGCTTTGAGTACGTGTACAAGTGCAGTGTAACGCGTAACGGGTTAACAGAACTACAGTGTCGATCCGCTACGTCGACAATCTCGATGGTGATGCTGTTCACCGCGTTGTATTGATATCTCTGTTTAGGAACATGGTTTACTACGTCATTTCCGGTGCACCGCCGGATTACCAGGGCAGCTCGGGCCCCTGGAAGTCGAAGAACTTGGATGTGTCTTCGAGCGTGACTCCCGAAAGGATCTTGGTCATGCCAGCGATGGACGTTTCAGGATCGACGGCGCCGTTGCCATAGTTCATGTCGGTCTTGACGTAGCCCGGCTGCAGCACGACAGCGGCGATCTTGTCTTGAGATCCATGGCCATGTTGGCATGGATCATGTTAAGCGCCGACTTGGACGCGCGATAGCCGTACATCTCGCCGTTCGGTAGCTTGTGGTTGTCGTAGTAGACTTTCTTAAGTGGGGCAAAGGCCCCGTCCAGGTTCACCTTGATACTTCCGAGGATGCTCGTGACAGAAGCCACGATCGCAAGTCCGTGAGCATCGGCAGCCAGCTTGAGATTGTCATGCAGTGCACGCGTGGTGAGGAACGGACCTAGCGAGTTGATCTCGAAGTGGCGCATGAAATGCTCCTTAGTGGCCGTGGCGAACAATCCTGGCTCCAAGATACCGGCGTTGTTGATAAGCAGGTCGATGGGGACGCCATCGAGATCCTTGGCCATTTGAGTGATCGAAGCTTCATTGTACGTGTCCAGCTGCAAAGGGCGATAGCGCCTTGAGGTCGCTGGCTGTTTCCACGTTGCGTGCCGTTCCGATGACTTTCCAGCCAGCCTTGGTGTAGTGCTTGGCAAACGTGAGCCCAAGTCCACGGGTGGCGCCCGTGATAAGAACAGTCTTTTCGGCGGCGGTCATTGCCGATGAAGTTGTGTTTGTTCGTCAGATTTTTGAAGAATGGAGTTGTTGTCGAGGTGAGTGCAAGGCATTGCCTACCCGTAGTAGGCAACAGACCGACCGTTGAGCTTACGCCCACGATAATGTTCGGTGCGTAAATTGCTTGCGCCATAGAAATTCTATGTGATACATGTAGAACCGCTTAAATAATGCGCCCCATTATTTGCTTTTCCTGATGGAGTAAACATGTTCGATTGCTACAGTCTGAGATTTCAGAGACGACTTCAATTAATAGCCCGCTGCTGTATTTTTCTAAGAAAACGGGAGTCAACAAATTCATGTCCTACCCACCAGAGCCCGGCCGGTGCGATATTTTAAGTTCAAGTATATTATTCGTATAATACCATTTCTTAATTCTGGCTCCAATTAGAGTCTTTAAGTTGGAAATATACTCGTAATTCCAACCTAACAGTGACTACATTCATGTATTTCGACCAAAGCTTTATTTCTCTGGTCGGGAGGACGTGCAAAGACTCACCTTTCACCACGGCATCTCGTGACCCTGGAAGTGGAAGAACTTCCCGGTATCGGCCATTGATATCTTCTCGATCACACTTGTCATCCCCTTCACGCTCTCGTCCGTGTGGACGTCGCCCAGTCCACCTGTGAGGTCCGTCACCACGTAGCCCGGGTGCACGACAATCGCCGCGATGTTGTCCTTCTTCAAGTCAATCGCCAGGCTGGCGTTCACCATGTTCACAGCCGCCTTGGAGGCTCCGTAGCTGTAGTTTCCTCCAGCCGTGTTGCCAGCGATGCTGCCCATCTGGGATGACACCGTGACCACTAATGCGCCATCGCTGCCATTCTTCTTCGCCGCAAGTTTCAGGTTTGGTAGCAATGCACGCGTCACCAGGAAAGGGCCCACCGTGTTCACCTCGAACTGACGCATGAGCATCTCCTTGGTCGTGGTTGTCAGGCCACCGCCGATGAAGATGCCTGCGTTGTTGATGAGGAGGTCAATTGGAACCTCCTGGAGCTCCTGCGCTGCCTCAGCAATTGACGCCTCGTCGGTGCAGTCGAAACTCACAATCTTGAGCGGTGACAACGCCTTTAACTGATATCGTAGAGGCCTTGAGTTAGAGATCGGGTACTGTTCAATATCTCAACTTTTGACAACAAACCTCGTCCGCCTTGCTGCCATTGCGCGCCACGCCAATGACTTTCCATCCAGCTTTAGTGAAGTGCTTGGCAAACTCGAGGCCGATGCCGCGTGTGCTGCCCGTGATAAGAATTGTCTTCGCTGCCATGATCTGTGTGGTGGGTGGAAGGATGTCAACTGCTGGCAGGCAGACTGAGACAGTGTTTGCCTGCATGTGCTGATTCGTCAGGTAATCGCTGCGATGAGTACACGTTTGAGATTCAGAAATAAATGACTAATTTTCAGATTCTGGTTTTCAGATTGATGTCGCTGATTGGTTAAAAACTTAAAATCAAATAAAAACTTATTTTTCAAGTACTGTAGGTACAGCTGCTCTTTTAGTAAAGTACTACATGTATAATACTACGAAGTACAATACTACAGTAATAGAACGTAGTAAAACAGAAGAACGCTGGTTGGCAAAAACTAAAGTTATTCTACTTGAAGTACTTCAGAAGTATCAGTTTTGTGATTTGCCAAGCAGATAAACCTCTGCCACCACTGGCGACTCACCAACAGCGACCAAGAGGCCTGCACTCTTTCCTAAGCTCCGTGTGTTTAGAGCGCAATAACCTGGCGCACCTCTCCAATTAGGTGGAATAAGGACATGCTCTTCCAGTCCAGCTTGACAATATTACTCTCGCAGTGCGAGTGTATCAACGCACACCACGGAGCAATCTGAAAAGCCCAACCACTTGTCGTCTCCACGCAGTAGTCCGTAACCAATCTCTTGCTCCAACGGGTCATCCAAGCTCAAGTGTCGCTCTTCACTGGTAAAATGCCAATTCCGGCTACTTGTCGTCACAAGAGCTTCCATCTACTTGGTGCCGCGATATCCTTTGCCTCGACGAAGTCCGAACTCTGCGTTGTTCCACTCGCTACCACCTCCGAACCCCATGCGGTTCTCGTTGACCTGTTGGCCTGCTCCTTGGCTACTGAAGTTGACGTTAGCACGCGGTGGGGGGCCGAAGCTAGAGATCCCATCTATCGGAGGGCCGTCACTCATAAAGTCGTCACGCTCCATGTTCTGCAGCACTAAGCGCTTGAGCTCCGACTGCTCCTTCTTGCCAGCATTTTCCTGCCGATGACTGTGCTGGGCCAGCGACGAAGCTTCCGGAACGACCAACGGACGCGCCTCCACTTTGCCTTTGTTCCCTCGACGTAACATTCGGAACACGACGCCATCAGGCGATCCATTCGCGTCCAGAGAGAGCAGTCCACGAGAACCTGCAGGGGCCAGAGCAGCCGAGCTCTTGACAACGGTAGGAATCGCCATCTTGTCCACGTTGACCCGTGCCGCCGGTTTGCGCGTGTCAGTCGAGCCGTGCATCATGGACTTGAAGGCCTTCTCGAACTCGTCGTCCTCTTCGCTCTTCTGGACGCGGTCGTGGATGATCAGGAGCTCCTCTTCGTCTTCTTCCTCCTCCTCTTCTTCGTCGTCCTCCATGTCGTCCTCCTCCTCTTCTTCTTCATCCTCCTCTTCCTCGCCCTCATCGTCGTGTTCGTCCTCGTCGTCCTCATCATCATCCGACTCTTCTTCCTCGTCTTCGATGGACTCGTCGTCCTCGTCACCAGGCTGGGACAACGTCGCGTCCTCCGCGACACTCTCGAGTCCGTTTGTAGCCATCAACAGCGCTGCATTCTTCTTCGACAAGCGCCGCTCCGCCTCCTCCATGTCCCCGCGAAGAATCTCCTGTACGGCCTGGTCCACGTCTTCCCACGTATCAAACTTCTTGAAATGGTCTCGCAGACTACCCGCGAGCATCTCGAAGAGGTCGAACACGACGAACTCGGTCTCCACCGGCACCTCCGTCTTGGACAAGAGATAGCGCTGGAAAAAGACCATAAAGCGACCCAGACGCGGACGCGAGATGCCTCTCTCGGTTGGGTGGCTAAGGCCAGGGAGACTCGGACTCCCCCCACTGCCATTGCAAGTCTCAATCAACGCACTAACCAGACGAACGCGGAACACTTCCGTCGGCCCGTCCACGTCGCTGGGCACACGAGGGTCGTAGCGCATATCTGGCACCAGGAGGAACTTCTTCTTCATCTCCAGCAGCTGCGCAGCCGACAGCTTGTCGCCACTGTACTGCGGCAACGTCAGCAAGTCGTGCGAGTGGTTGATCAGCAGGTACAGCGTCTCCACCACCACGTTCATGCTCACCAGGCCACAGTTGTAAAGTTCTCCTAAGAGCTTCACATACCCGAGACTGCGTTGATGGTCTCGGTAGTCATTCACCTCCAGGCCGTACCGAACGTGCTCCAACACGTCGTCCACCAGCAAGACCAGCACTTGGTCGTGGTACCGCACCAAGCCCTTGACCACGTCGCAGATCCACTTCATCTGCAGCACTTTGCCCTTCGTGACCTTGAGCAACGCCTTGAGAACCAGGCCACACGTGCCGCGCTCTTGCCACGGGAAGCGACGCAGCGTCTTGACGACCTTGTTGACGTTCGAGCCGTTCAGATCCTGGTACAGCAGCCGAATCAGATACAGATACAGAGGATCGTACTGCTTCACCTGGCGCTCCACTCGCTCCGGCGGCTTGCACATGTAGTAGGCGTTCTCCACCAGCGTCTCCAGCTGCGGGTCCAAGTGCTTGGCTGCTTTGAGCTTCATCATGATACTCAGGCAGTTGACGGTGCGAGCGTGCGTGTGCTTGGAGCAGTACAGGAAGCGCCCGCAGTTCTCGAGGAACGTCGTGGCCACATGCACGTTGTGGCCCTGGAAGTCCTGGAAGCAGCGCTGCAGACAGCGAAAGCCCGTGGCAGGAGGACAGAGCCGGAACTTGACGAGTTCTGCTAAAAAGCGGATGTTCTTGATCTTCGACTCGAGGCGAAACTGGTTCCGACGCTTGATAAGGCCGTGGAACTCGCCCACTAGCAGACTCACCAGCTCGCCGCCAATGTCTTCTTTCAGCACACTCTGCAGCGTGGCGACCAGACGAGCATAGTGCGCTAGCAGCTCCAAGTGCGTGCGTGGCACTGCATACAGCGTCTTGACTAGACGACTTCGAGTGGCCTTGGAGTTGCGGTAGCAAAACTCCACTGCTGCCTTATCGCATCGGTCTCGATTCACCAAATCCTCCAGAGACGCGAAGAAGGCGTCCAGCTGATGGTGGTAGCTGGTAGACGGTGTTCTGGCGGTCTCTGCGCTCGTATCGCTGACTTCCACCTTAACTTCTTTACTCTCCTCCTCGTCAGTCTCCTCTAAATCGTCCAGTGTCGTGTCTTCTGTCTCGTCTTTGCCGTCGTCCTCTGTGGTCGCCAGTTCTTCTTCATCTTCTTCGATCTCAGTCTCCGTCTCTTCTTCTTCAGCTGCGGCAGTCTCTTTCTTCTTCTTCAGCTCGGCCACATCAGCTTCTGTCAGGCCTAACACAACCGCAGGAACCAGCTCCAATAAGTCCGGCAGATCCTCGTAAAAGGAGCGTGTAGCTTCGTCATCAAAAGGCCCATCTCTGCTCAGTTCCCGACCAGTACCGTCGCCGCCTTCCCAGACGAGAATACTGCCGTTTCCTGACCCGTCGTCTTTCTCCTCCACCGGGAGCGGCGGCACGTCTCGGTCCAGAGCGTCGGCCAGGGAGTTGACGCTCGTCTGCAGCTTCTCGAACAGTAATTTGGCGTTCTTGAGCTCCTGCACATGCTCCTCCGTCACTTCCCCGCGATTGGCCTCTTCCTTCTCGTTCCTGGCGTCCAACTTCAAGAACGTCGCGTGTTGTGCCAGATAAAACTTGCAGATCATGTCGTACGCCTCCAGATAGCAGCTCCGACACTCTTCCTGCACGTTCTGAGGCACGACGGTCGTCTGCAACGTCAGGAAGGTCTGATACTCTTCGCTGTCCGTTAGAATCTTTTCGAATTCCTTAAATTTCTTCGGTTGCACGCCGAGAAAGTCCACACCTACCGACTTGGCGAAGCTAACGAGAAGCGGGACCTCCAGTTGCTGCGAGGAGCCTGTGCTAGAGCCTAAGATGGACATATTACCTCGACTCTTCTTGGGTCCAGGTGACTCACGTCTCGCCACTCGCTGGATGATGTGAGCTATCACCTGGACGTCGTCAAACACTCCGGCCAGGTAAAGTTCGCATAGTAAACGTAGGAGAAGTCGGCGTCGGAGCATCTTGCCCTTGTCTTCCGACGTGTACGAGGCCTCGAAGCTGCTCACTAGTGCACGCACCATCCCAGGTGCAAAGTCTTCGTATCGCTGATGCAAGAGCGACGCCACTTTGACGGCGGCAGGCAGATCTGCAGCCTTGAGTGGAGCGTCCGCCAGCGCTGCCACGCACTCGCTCACGTATCTGGTCAGATTAAGTTCCGCTGCATCGCGTAGTAGCGAGTCTGCGTTGGCCTCGCTGAGCACGCGCAGCTTCTTGACAAAGGCGGAAGAGCGTTTGATGTCCGACTTTAGCTTGAGTGTGGCCAGCTGCTCGCGCACGGCCGCAACGTTGGTCACGCTATTGGCTGAGCGCAGGGCTGAACGCACTTCACGCTGGCGTTGGAGCTCGCGAAGCTGCGACAGAGCTTGAGCCTGCACGTCCTCGTCCTCGTCGTCGCGTGCCATGGGTGTTCTGTTGGGCAATTTTGGCAGCTTGTATATTTTAATAAAACAAGATGGTTTATGAAATGGTGTAGCCGGTAGTCAGAATTATTAGTAGTTCATTTCAAATTCTATTAATTTTTAATTAGTTTACGTTCTTTTATATTATAATATAATTTTAAGAACTCATTCTGTATTAATAGTACTAACAGAAGAAGTTACTGAAGTATGAGTTTTAAAAAACTGATTTTGGCGTTTACGAATCAGCATGTGCAGTCTCAGTCTTTCTGGCAGTGCCAGGCTGGCACTGGCAAGCAGACTGCTCAGTTGACAACCTTCCACCCACCACACAGATCATGGCAGAGAAGACAGTTCTTATCACGGGCAGCACACGCGGCATCGGCCTCGAGTTTGCCAAGCACTTCACCAAAGCTGGATGGAAAGTCATTGGCGTGGCGCGCAATGGCAGCAAGGCGGACGAGGTTTGTTGTCAAAAGTTGAGATATTGAACAGTTCCCGATCTCTAACTCAATGCCTCTACGATATCAGTTAAAGGCGTTGTCACCGCTCAAGATTGTGAGTTTCGACTGCACCGACGAGGCGTCAATTGCCGAGGCAGCGCAGGAGCTCCAGGGGGTTCCAATTGACCTCCTCATCAACAACGCAGGCATCTTCATCGGCGGCGGCCTGACAACCACGACCAAGGAGATGCTCATGCGCCAGTTCGAGGTGAACACGGTGGGCCCTTTCCTGGTGACGCGTGCATTGCTACCAAACCTGAAACTTGCGGCGAAGAAGAATGGCAGCGATGGCGCATTAGTGGTCACGGTGTCATCCCAGATGGGCAGCATCGCTGGCAACACGGCTGGAGGAAACTACAGCTACGGAGCCTCCAAGGCGGCTGTGAACATGGTGAGCGCCAGCCTGGCGATTGACTTGAAGAAGGACAACATCGCGGCGATTGTCGTGCACCCGGGCTACGTGGTGACGGACCTCACAGGTGGACTGGGCGACGTCCACACGGACGAGAGCGTGAAGGGGATGACAAGTGTGATCGAGAAGATATCAATGGCCGATACCGGGAAGTTCTTCCACTTCCAGGGTCACGAGATGCCGTGGTGAAAGGTGAGTCTTTGCACGTCCTCCCGACCAGAGAAATAAAGCTTTGGTCGAAATACATGAATGTAGTCACTGTTAGGTTGGAATTACGAGTAGATTTCCAACTTAAAGACTCTAATTGGAGCCAAAATTAAGAAATGGTACGAGAAATATACAGTACTGCACCCCGTTTTCGCGCCCTTGGACCTTTGATAAACTTCCGGATGTGATGATTCTGAATCCAAATGAGCTTTAGTTTCTTCAAATTGGTTTATTTGCAAATCCTATATGATCCACCCCCGCGAAAACGGGGTGCAGTACTGTACTTGGACATAAAATATCAGAATTTAAATGGGTGACCCTAATTGCGTGCGACTGGTTTACTTTCATTCTAAAAGCCGTTATTTCTTAACGATTTTGCCAGTCGCCTTTACTTCTACGTTGGTAAAAAATGTATCTTCGCTTGTAGCTCTAGCACACGTCACAGAAACATTGGTAATATATTTATTTTACCGATTTTCCCCCCAAGGTCGAGTACAAAGGGCGTTGCGTACGGTACAGAAGTCTCCATCACCGATACATCAGAAATCGGATTCTAGGTATATACCGGAATCGGCCAAGCGTGCAGAACAAAACTTTGAATCGGAGGATGTTCAGAATTTGACACCGGAAATTGAGGATGCAAATGGATCGACTCCTCGGAATGAATACAATAATTCCGGATAGTAACGGTGCTTTCTTTACTGGTTTTTCTGCTCGATGGAGATCTTGGGAATGTTTCCACGAGCAATTCGATTTGTTCAGTACCAAGACGTATCGACATTTCCCCGCTCGGTCGACAACTTCAGTGGAAAAACGAAACTAAAAGTTTTTAGGCCGAAGGCAATTTCGGCAAGGACAGCAAAAAGGTTCAGCGGGCAAGGAGACGACAAGGCTACGCATCTAAACGAACTATCGTCGAGGTATCTGATCCCTACTTCCTGGGTGGTTTACTGCAAGACGATTAAATGTACCCATGTAATCAAGCAGCAGAAACACGTTGACGACCTTTGCACACATCATGTAGTGCGGCTCACCGCTTGCAGAGCTCAGGTCAACGCAACGTTGCAGAAAAACAAGGAAGGGGAATACAATGCTTATCTGAAAGACAAGGGAAGCCACAACTACGCGATCATCAGCAAAAGGAATACTGTCGTATCTGCGAACGAAGACAGGTGACAAACTTGCGATAGTATCCGTGCTGTGCACTTCGGTCTAACTAGTGTCCCTTATCTACCTTAACGGGCAGAAAAATACACTGCGCGACGTACACAATAAGCTGCACGCGATCCACAGAGAGAACGTGGTAATACAAGCGATGCCGACCGTACGAAGAGCGCTCTCCATGAATTCGTGAACCACGAGCCAGCCAACTCGGCTAGCTTCTTCGTTGAGTCAGACGCACAACAAGCACAATTGGTGGTGTTTCAGTCGGCGCGCATGAAGCGCCTCTTCAAAGCGTTTTTCCGAGGTCATACTCGTGGACACTACGCATGGGACAAACACAAATCACTACAAGCTTTTTAGCTTTGCTGTTACGGACGTTTTTGGCAAGGTACAGTTTAGCTAAATTTTACTGACAGCGGTTAATCGGTGGAGATCTTACTATTTATGTTTTGGTGATAAAGGATAATATGTGCTGCATGCTCTTGTTAAAGCAAGAGCATGCAGCACATATTAGTCTGCTTGGGTAATCAGACCAATAACCGTCTCGAATCAAAGTGGGGGGAAATCAAGCAAGTGATAAGCAAGGATAACACCATCGACGAGCTGATCTCAACGTTGATATTCCTCCAGGAGATTGCCGGAGATAAATACTTGCTGATGTTTCACAAAGTCGGGTCGTGCCCTCAACGTGACTCGAATCCAGAGCTAGCGGCACTAGCGATGAGTTTGAGCTTGTTCGCATTTGATATCGTGGAGGAGGGGTTTAACTACGCTACGAGTGTGTGTGCTGATTTTAACATACGAGCCGATCGAGATTTGACTGTGTTTATAAGTCGACGGACCGGGATCAAGCACACTCTAAACACGAAGGTTGTTTTTTTCTGTGAGAAACTATATAACATGACGGTTCCTTTTTTGGTAGAAATAACAATGACGCTTATAGTTGTCTTCGTGTGACTGCATGCTTACATATGTGCTTCCATGTCATCATTTAATGTTTTGGCGACTGCAGAATCTAAGTTAAACAAGTATCGCCCAGCGTTGGATGCGCTGCTGCCCCGTTAATGACATCGCGGTTGACGGTGTCAGTGAAGGAACCATTCACACAGGATTCATTAAGGCGCAACTGCAGGTGAAGGCTTAGATTGTCAAAGCTGCAAACACAAATTAAGGCAAGCAGAAAGCCATTATAAATCACAGAGCACAGTTCTCTAGGGTCTTAAAAAGATAAGAACTTGTGACTTTGTGACTTGTGAAACTTGGTCAAACATAAGGTTGTTTGAATGTCGCTCTTGTCCGACTGGGTCAACATTCACATATTCTGAGATAAGTTTCGCACTTCATTACGTTTTGCGACATTTTTACGTTTATTGCTAGCTTTACGATAATGGCCAAAGTATGCTTTCGTACGGATTTAGCGAGGGTCTGCGATCCTAGTAATAAGGGCTGTTTCATTTGAGAATAAGTAGCGGAATAACTTCGCCGGAATTGCAAATCAAACAAAAAATAAGTTGATTTCGTGGAAAAGTGATATCAACTTTTGAAGGTATCCGATTCACTACCGAAGAGCAACATGTACTACGTGTCGCTCATGGAGCGTGCTGCGCGTTCGCTACAACCTCACACGGATATCGTTGCCTACCTGTAACGGGGTACAATCCAGTGTGCCCCAGGTTACATAAAGAGTGACCCGTCACCCTTGTGGGCACCTGGTACACGGTACCAGGTGCTCTCGGAGCCAGTCAAGGCATGACTACTTAGCTCCACTATAGGTAACCTCTAGTTTGTATGGAACCCAAGCTAACCTTACTTATAAATACATCAGTCTTACATCTACTCCTCTAAGTAGCAAACCGTTCCCTTTGAGGCCGGGAACACGTGGACTAACATCCACTCGGGTAGTAAATACCCTTAAGCATTTCCTCTGTGCAATGTGCTGTGTGACCCCGTCACACTTAGTAGCACTCGTAGTCAATCCAACACCATCGCGTGTAGATTGAACTACCTGAATCCTCTGTGCGCTCAGCGTTTGAGCCACGATGGACCGAAGCGAGTTTCCTCGCTTGAACGACTCACAGTACGAGTCTGTTCGGAAGATAAGATGCATCTTTGGACAAGATGTCCTTCGCAGCTTGGCGGCGGCGACGCCTGCCGATCAACAGGAACGCGTGACTGTGTTTGAGACCTACGAGCGTGATCTCATCGCTCACGTCCGCGGGAGTTTAGAGGCCTCGATGGCCGCTCCCCAGGCAACCAGACCTAAGCCGGTATGGCTGAAGGTCCCCGCGTTTGAGGTGAAGGAAGGAGAGAACCTTCACTTCTGGGTCTGTGAGGTGGAGATCGCCATGAAGGCGGGTCTCATATTGGACGAGCCAGTTCAAGTGGCTTTTGCCCTGTCCAACCTTGGTGGACGTGCCAAGCACTGGGCATACACCAGGGATACGACGTCGCCTGGATGCTTTTTTTGCATCCTGGGCTCAGCTGTGTGAGCAGCTTCGAGCCGCGTTCCTACCGGCGAACAACGAGTTCCGCCAGCGCTCACGCTTTCTCGCGTGTAAGCAAGGTAAACGTGAGCTGCAGGAGTACGCGCAAGAGATGCGCACGTTGGTGGCATCTCTGACAGGAAATCCGCTGCCTGAAGACATCAAGACAACAGTCTTCATGGACGGCCTGAACGTCGGTCCTGCTCGCACCCAGCTATTCCGGGTGCAAGCGACAACTATGGAGGAGGCGATTCGAATCGCCCTCCAAGAAGAGTACAGCCACAAGCAGGCTAATACTCCTCGGGAAGAGGAACATCGCCACGATGAGAATGGCGTTCCTCGGGAGGCGGAGCATCGCAGCAATGACGCTGTTGCTCCTGCTGTCACGCAGCCCGTTGATATCGGTGCGTGCAGCGAGCCCGAACCCATGGACTTAAGCTCAGCCGAGAGCTTGGTCCGCTGCCACGGATGCGGCGGGCGTGGACACTACCAGCGTGTGTGTCCCTCGCCAGTCCTCGGGAAGAAGACAGCCCGTGGACCCCAGGTCCGGTGGCGCAGGCCACGGCCAGGTGAACGAAGACTCCTCGGCCACCAGTAGAGGCAGTATGCCCTACGGAAGAGCGCTAAGCCTTCGTGATGTGTGTGCAGGTTGTGCGCAGGGTAGTGATGGGCTGTTGGTAGTACACTCGGTGTACGGGGGTACGGTACCCCTTGAACGTGTGATGAGTTCTGGGGCGTTGATACGCCGCCGGAACGTCGCTTGGCATAGCGACACCCGACTGCACTCTATGTCAGAGTGGCGGTCGTGGGCTGGGCCTTGGTGGACTAGCCTTTTGGTACGGTGAAGGAAGTATCATTGGTCCTTAACGGATCTGAACGTTTCGGCTTGATGAGCTCGCGCACCGCGGTGTCTCTCGCAGTTCTCGCCATTAACAACATGGCTGTGCCGAACATAAGGCACAGCCCGGACTTTGGTGTGGCAAGGCTGAGAAGGGCCTACCAGTCCAGGTCTATGACGGAGCATTGATGAGTCATGTTCCCACCTCCGTCATGACTGGGGCGTCTGATACAGACCGCCAGGACGCAGAAGCGTCACGGAGCTGTCAACGCGCCGACAGCTCTGCGTAAAGCAAGGCCATGTTCCGCTGCGGCAATGCCACGGGCGTGGGTCTTTTGCCCGGCGTGTGGACCTGCTACACCAGCAGCGTCCAACGCTGAAGGTCGTCGCGCCGTACGGGCTTCGACAGTGGTTATGCCTTTAAGTGCTAACCATGTGGGTAACTTAGGACCACACGGTCGCCCAGACCTTAACTGAAGAGGAAGGCGCTGAATGCG